AGTTAGTTCGACGAGTCCGGTTTTAGAGTGCAGATCTCCAAAATATAAAGACATTGNTGAAAAGAGTGGGAGTTATAGGACCCACGAAAGGGACGTTTTGAATAAGTTAAGTTAGTTCGACGAGTCCGGTTTTAGAGTGCAGATCTCCAAAATATAAAGACATTGAAAAAACACATACCACATTGTAGAGGAGCTAATTCCACACGAAAATGATATGAGGAGTGATGTTCTAGGATGAATAGTTTTTCCGTGACAACTCTCAGAACTTTTTTTAACCTTAATTTTGTATTATTGCCGAATTCCTTCCCGAGATCCAGCCCCTTTCTGCGCGCGAATCTGTAGGGCAAGAGCGGTATGCGCAGTCGATTCAAATATACATATGCTTGATTATTCCACGACGAACGTGAAGGTTTTGCGATTTATTCGTATTAATCAATTAATTCAATCATTTCAAGTAGCACCAAAATGTAGGTGCCTAAAGTACACTGTGGCTAGACAATTTACTACTAACGCCGCTTTGTAGTGGAAACTGATAACAATGAAAGGGCAATTAGGTCGCCCTCCTCATGATGATTTCCATAATGGGTCACAACCAGTTTGTGGAATTTATTCTACTTTACCTGTACATTCAGGTTGGATGGTACAATACCAGGGATTGTATGCATCACTGGAGTAATGATATTTGGGATCCGTTATTATAACCATGTGATTAAATTAGAAACTAATAAATATTTAATAAATTTTTTTCAATAAATATTTTGTTCACTCCAACTTTTATTTGAATTTCTCCGGATGATGAATTAAATTGTTAAATTAAACAATGTTAAATGAAACATTGTTCGAATTAATTTTTCAATTTAGGTAGACTCTGCGTAAGAATTTTCGATATTTGTAATCGTTTATAAAATTTCTTATTACTCTTTGAAATTCAACTGAATTTTTTTTTTAAATTGAAGCGGTCATTGACATTTGAATCATAGCTTAATTTTTGGTTCTCCATATAAATTGCCGAGATTCCTTCCAATTGCAATCCTAAATGATTCTGGATTCAGGGCAAGAGAAATCCTCTACAAAAACTTTTCCTTTGGTTATTTTTTTTTCAGTCTTGTCTTTCCATTATCTGTCCATTTCTTTCATTTTCATGATGAGATGAATCTGTAATTTTTTAGTTTCATATGATATTTATGTATTGATCGGTGTCATCAATTATAAAAAATGCACGACAATTTTATGTAAATAATTCATTGATAAGAATCAAGGAGTTTGCTTCCTTTGAGGCCAGTGTATCTCAAATTAAATCTAGGAAACATATGGGCGATTATCTACAAATTGTTATTTTCTTGTCCTTCAGCTTTTCCAATCTCAAAATGATGAAATAATATTAAAATTTCTCCGGATGTCGGGAGACACTATGACATTCCACCATTTTCATGCAATACATGCCTTCCCTGACCGTTTATTTAGCTCTAGAGAGCTGAAACCACCCTAAATGTCACTACCGTGGCATGTCCTTTGTATGAAATTCGAGATTTTGTCAATGAAACCGAGTAAATAAGTAGCTCAAAGAAAATTTCCTGAACATAGATAATAAGGGATGTGACTAAGTATACTTTCATGAGCAATTTTCAGAGGAATAACTGTTTTACGCTCACCAGGAAGATCAAAATTTTGTCTCACAATTATAGTACTATTTTGAAAAATTTGAATTCAACTGTCGTCGCGCCATTTCCGATGTTTACACATGACTCACGTACCAAAATTCTGTAATGAAGGGGTAAGGCCCAGTATTTACACCAGTAAAAATTAACTAGACACATGTGCACATCCAGGAAAGACTACTCGAGAGATGAAAAAGATAAGTCACCAATTATTCTGTCACTACCATGGTCTCATGATTGTTTCATGTCGTGTAATTTCTTAGCTAATTTTTTTCATTAAAAAAGTAACATTCCATTGCCTGAAACTCATCATCTTGAGAGAGCTTTCAATTCAAAGCTGGCGGGAAGTGTGATTAGGTTTTAACAGAGAATGTCACAACCGTGGCTGTCACAACCGTGGCATATCATAGATGAACGTGTGGGAGGGAAGTTGTATCATCACTAAGGTATTTTGAACAATGTTTTAGGTGTTTAAATGGTGCAAACTCAGAGTAATACCCAGGTGGGTTATCAACAACCACTGAATATCCCTGTGCTGTGTCAGAATTGATTGTTGAAAAAAACCTAAAGTGATCTCTACAAATGAATATATGATACTAGAAAGATGTCAAATAAATCAATAAACTTGTTCTATTATCGAAAAATTAAATTCCTTGATTGAAATACAAAGACTTGTTAAGTTTGGTCACCACCGTGGCAGTAAGAAATCCGTAAGACTCTATTACTCTGAATCTTTTAAAGTTGTAGTAGAGTGGTGCTAGGACTATACTTCTGGACCATTATGACATATAGAAACATGAAAAAATTACTCTACAGACATTCAGTTTTTGAAAAATGTGTGAGGTAAAAAATCACAATTTGCAGAGAATCACCCATATAGTCAATTTAGCGACAATGAAGAAAAATAACTCGAAAATTTTGTAGTTTTCTACAATTTTACAAAAATTTGCTGATTCATCATGGCTCATTGTAATTTTAATACTCTGTGCACATTCCAATTTTATATGACACATTGGTAACTACTATAGACTTCCAGGTAAATGAATAATTTTACTGGCAGACACACGTGCATCGCTTGCATACCAAGAATAATAAGACAATAAGTTTCCCGCCGTGTACTTAATTAATTATATACATATAATAAGTATTCTTATTTTTATTTACGACAATCAAAATGTTATTAGCCCTAATAATCTTGTGACACTTCTTTTTTTTAATTGTGTCATTTACTCCTGTATTTTTTTTCCGGCTTTCTTCTCAGTTAAAACATTCACGAAATTCGAACTCCTCTGCGAAATTCCATGCACAGTTCAAATCTACTGCGCATACCGCTACTTTGAGGGGAGTGCGCGCGCATACTGGGCTGGGTGCATGACTTCGGAGTTCTTCCATCTTCACGTTCTTCCATCATTTGCCTCGGCCACATGCGTTCCCCAGACTACGTTTCTCTGAAATTCGAAAGCGTGGAATTAGAAAGAAATTTATGGAATATCATAGTAGCTGTCTAAATATCGAACTGTCACGTAAAAATCAACAGCAGGAGCACGTTGAAAAAATAACGTATATTAAAAAAATTCAGACACAACTTCAAGTCAACAATTAAATACTGTCCCAATGACAATTATCCCAAACTTTACGAGACTTGTTATTCTCCATTGAACGTAAAACACAAGTCTCATAAGTTTTTCACCCCCGAGAATCCGATAAACAGAAAAGTCTGCAAGGGAGAAGAGAGGAACGACGTCGGTGGTACTTCACTTTTGATTCTTTCTTTAATTTTTTTTCGAGAGCACGACACCACAACCAACAACTGCCCATTTATGGATTGATTGATCCCTTAGCGCTAGTATGACGCTGAAACTGGGGAACGATTGTGGCAAAAGATTAGCACAACTTTTGGTGCTAACTGTACTAATAAATTACGTAAAAAACCGGGGAGTTGGGTGTTTAAACGGGGTGGAAAACAGACGCATGATCTGGAGGGTTGAACATTTAGGGGGGTGACGGGGAGGGGTCCCAGATTATATTTTTATGAAATATACCCCTCGGGAAACACGTTGATTTTTTATAATTTTTAGAAAAGTGAATTTCGGGGAATATACATGAGTATGGGGTTTTTCTGGGGGGTTGAAGACAGCCGCATATATTCGGAGGGTTGAAAATTCAGGAGGGTGAGGGGAAGAGGTCCCAGATTACATTTTTATATAATTTACTCCTCCGGAAACATGCGCTGATTGTTTATAATTCTTTTAAAAATAAATCTCAGGGAAAATACATGAGAATGGGGTTTTTCCAGGGGGTTGAAGACAGCCGCATGTATCCGGAAGGTTGGAAATTTAGAGGGGTTAGAGGGAGGCGTTCCAGATTACATTTATACAATACTGTAGTCAGTAATGTAGTCACTCCTCCGATGGTATGCGTTTTGTGGGTTTATTCTCAAAAATAAAAAAAATGAATAAAAAATGCCATAAAAATACCGACGGAATAGATTTAAAAAAATATCAACGCATACAGAAGTGACTTGTGCAAAAATGTCATCTGGAACCGCTTCCTCCCACTCCACTAAATTTTTAACCCTGCGGATACATGCGGCTGTCTTCAACCCCCCAGGAAAACTTCATTCTCATGTATTTTTCCCGAAATTTATTTTTAAAAAAATTATAAAAAATCAGTGCATGTTTCCGGAGGGGTATATTTCATAAAAATATAATGGAACACCTTCCCCTTACCCCCGTGAATTTTCAACCCTCCGAATACATGCGGCTGTCTTCAACCTCCCGGAAAAACCGCATAATCATGTATTTTCTCCGCCATTAATTTTTTTTCAAGTTATAAACAATCAGCGCATGTTTCCGGAGGGGTAAATTTTATAAAAATGTAATCTCAGACCCCGCTCCTTCACCCCGTGCATTTTGCCTGAAATCGATTGTTAACAAATTTATAAAAAATTTTCCCCCTCATTCGCGTGCATTTTGCCTGAAATCGATTGTTAAAAAATGTATAAAAAATCTCCGCATGCTGCCGGAGGAATGACTTTTGTAAAAATGTAATCTGGGATCCCTCCCCCACACCCCCCTAAATTTTCAACCTTCCGGATATATGCGTCTGAAAAATTTGGATAAAATTCCGTATTTACTTTGTCTCTTGAGAGGAAATATTCAGCTGAACCTATTTCTAATCACCTTCGACTTCTTACCGGACATTCGACAAGGATTCAACAATATTAGGACTAGCCCATTATTACATTAATTGAACATTTAATCTAAAATATCTATAGGTAATCAAAATCCCTCCCCGGCATTTTTCCGGATGATTTATCATGATTTTTTCTTTCCATATTTGTTTTGTTTCCTCTTTCAGATCATAGTAGTTCATCTTCTTCGTCCGGACGTTATAAAAAAATCCTGAAAATCGTTGTCTCTTTGATGAATTGTTATCCAAATGGTCAGCTGGGGCCTTATGAATATCTAAGAAATTGTATCTGGGCTAGCATCTCATCCAGCATCGTTCCAAGATATTGAAGGTGTTGGTACATCTACGGAACCCACCCCGTAGACCCTATTGATATTGACTATCTTGCCTAATATGAAGTTATTGAAAAGAATAAAAAATGGTGAGGAATTATGTTGGTATTTTACGAGATTCCTTTTTTTTTACCAAAGGTTTTCTAAGGATTCTAATTAAACAATATGTATGGTATAGTGACGAAAAATTAAATGAAGAAGCAATGATCCAATCGAACTGATATTGTTTTTTGCTATAGGAATATAACACCTGTGGAACAGGAACTCATAAAAATGACAATATGATTTCAAACTTAGTAAGAAATTGACTGAATTTTAACTGTTCAACCGCTTGTCTATTGAATTGAGACCACAATATACCCCAAACCTACTCCTGCTGTCATTTCCAATCCATTTTGAATGAAGAGAAAAATTCTACTCAGTGGACTACATGAGGATTTGCTTTATACGGTTTTTGTTCGCCGAACAGATAAAAAAGTGTGCCTCATATTTGTAAATCAATGAACGATTACCTGCATCGTCTTTTCTACATAGTGGTCTCCAGAGGACTCCTTGTCAATGAGCATCTCATCAGCATCTATTGAGGAATTTTTTGTTTAAAGGTGTTGTCGTGGAGATATCTTTACATATTTCTCAGCAAGAGATGTACGTTTCGGAGCTGCACACTTTAAAAATTGCAATATTTATCAATCACTTACCTCTACAAGAGCGACAAATATCGTGTGAAATTGGGTACCCATTGTTTTACTTACTCTCTTGTTCATTTTTCTGTTAATCAGAGGAATTGGATCCGGAATTTCTTCAGTAGGACCACTTTCCCCAAGAAAATGACGGGAACAAATGTATGTTTCCTTAGTAATGTTTTCAATGGATCTTAAACCCTCATATCTTCATGACATTGAAGTTTGCAGATTTCAATCAAAGAAAATTTTTAACATTGCATATCTCGTCAGGAAATTGTGATATCTATAAAAAATCAAATTCTATGAGTAGGGTATGGAAAAATTTGAACGTGATGGTTGCTATATATGATAAAATATGATATAATATTATTAAATAGGCTAGTGTATTCAAGACAAGTTTGTGAAAAACACTCAACACGGAATATCTAGCCCTAGAATAACGCTATTGAAAAAAGTAACAATCTCACAGTTCGAACTCAATGGAATCTCATCGTGATATTTTTTTGTTTCTCATTTTTTGTACCCATGGACGACTAATTCACTGATATGCAATAAAACTTTGTCAAGCTGTAGCGTACACATGAGGGGCTCAATGAAAAAAACAAAAAAGGTCACGTTTAAAAAATAGTAAAATCTTCTCGTGACTATTTTTTAAATATTTTTTCAATGCTCTAACTTCATTTTATGCAATGTTGTTTTTCCTGCGAATCATTAACAACGAATATCTCTGAAATTACTTGAGCGATTTTGAAATCACCGACACAAATTCTGAGTCATATTAATATCTTGACGTGAAGATCTTCATAAATGGTTTTCCATTGTTCCAATTTCGGAAATCTAAAAAATTCGACAGGGAAATGCTATCAACAGAGAATATCTTCAATAAAAATAATGATATGGCGACGCAATGGAATGTTATGATTAAATTTTTCATCTATCCTTCGTGAGCTCCGTGATTTTCCTCTTATTACCCATTCAAGAGCTGAAAATGTCGTTATATAAACGAAAACCAATTTTTCATGGACGTATAACGTGATAAAATGAATTTGCATGGGTCCATCCTTGAAAATGGAATAGACGCAGTCTTATAGATTATTTTACGTTGATTCCAAATCCGTTTGATAAGTTTCTCTAGTATAGTTTTTGAAAAAATAAAAAATTATTGAATTATTGGAAACAATGCAAAATGGACAATTCGAAAGAAGAATAGTAGATTGCATGATTAGGTTCACAAAGTGTTTTCGGCCGAATGACAAAACTAATCTTCCTGTATAATGTCTGTCTGTTACCAAGACGAGCTATATTTTATGATACACCCAAGTGGAAATTTCGCTCAGATTTTCTGGGCCTAAGTCAGTTTTAGATCCACTGCTGGTCAGGATTTTCCGATCAGATCTCCCGGATAAGGATCCAGTCATCGCCTGAATAGATTATTTGCATCCGGGAGATCGCTCAAATATTTCAGATCCGATTCTGATCAATCACAAATAGCCAAATTAGACTCAACATTTTTCATTCAGTTTGGATCTGAAACGTCTGACCTCAACCCAAGCTTGAATCAGGGCCCCTATTCTGGACATTGGTAAATTCTTCTTCATACATGAATTGCTGTTCGTCCACGAACAGTAAATGAGAATCGTATAGCCGATTCGTTGAAGAATGCCGATTCGTACACGAAAAAAAAACACCCACTTCGAGAATAGGTACTAATCAGATGGATTTGATCTTACACTGGCCAGGGAGTTTGGGTTCATTACTGAATGAATAATCAAAGTTATTCCCTTTTATCAAGAATTTAATGGGTCATTAGCGTATCAAAAAAATTAAAAAGGTCTTTGTATTGACTCCACTCTCCCCTAATCCTCACCTTCGGCTCCGATTATGAAGCCACGTTGGCCGTAAAATACTTTGTGAATCTAATGATGCAATCTACTACTCATCTTCCAATTTGTCCACTTCGCCTCGTTTTCAATACTTTAACATTTTTCCCTCAAAAACTATGCTAGAAAAACTTTCCAAGCGGATTTGGAATCAGCGTAAAAATATCTATAACACCCAAAAAATGAAATCTTATTTCAAGATTTCAAAGACCTTAAGTTGAGACTTTCGAAGCCTCAAGTTGAGAGTTTCGAAAATCTCAAGTTGAACACACAAAAAATCTAACGTTCAGTGAACTCCAACCTTAACGGGTTGAATCAACCCTACTTATGGGATGAACAGAAAAAAAGCTGAGGTTTATTGAATCTCTGCAAAGGTTGATTCAACCCTTCTTGGGGTTGATTCACCCCCAAATAGAGAGAATATCCACAATGGTTGAATCACCCCCAATTTGAATGTAAATAAGCCCTTATTTGGGGATCATTCAAATTGAGGGTGATTCAACATTTGCAGGGGTTCAGTGAACGTTAGACTTTTTTCTGTGAAGCCTGAAAGTTTCAACTTAAGACTTTCAAAGTCTCAACTTGAGACTTTCAAAGTCTCAACTTGAGACTTTCGAAAGTCTCAACTTGGGACTTTCATAAGTTTTAATTTGAGATTGTAAGTCTCAACTTGAAATTTGTTTTTTTTTTGGGTGAAGATTGTCAGTTTTATTTTTTGGGGATGAACACAACTGAATTCATTTTATCGCGTTATTCATCCATGAAAATTTGGTTTTTACTTATACAGTGATATTTTCAGCTCTTGAATGGGTAAGGAGAGGAAAATCACGAACCTCACAAGGATAGGTGAAAGATTTAATTATAACATTCCATTTCGTCGCCATATCATTATTTTTATGGAAGATATTCTTTGTTAATAACATTTTCCTGGCGAGTTTTTGAGTTTTTCGGAATTGAAACAATGAAAAACCTTTTTTGAAAAACTTCACATCAAGACATTAATATGACTCTAAATTTGTGGCTGTATTTTGAAAATCGATTAAGTATTTCCGGAGATATTCGATGTTAATGATTTGCAGGAAAATCAACATTGCATAAAATGAAGGTAGAGTGTTGAAAAAATATTTAAAAAATAATCACGAGCAGATTTTCCTATTTTTTAAACGTGACCTTTTTTGTTTCTTCCATTGAGCCTCTCATATGTACGCTACCGCTCGACAAAGTTTTATTGCATATCAGTGAATTAGTCGTCCATGGGTACAAAAAATGAAAAACAAAAAAATATCACGATGAGATTCCATTGAGTTCGAAGTGTGAGATTGTTACTTTTTTCAATAGCGTTATTCTAGGACTAGATATTCCGTGTTGAGTGTTTTTCACAAACTTGTCTTGAATGCACTAGCCTATTTATTAATATTATATCATATTTTAACATATATAGCAACCATAACGTTCAAATTTTTCCATACCCTANCCGGTGGCCTGGCGTAGTGGTTAAGGCCGTTGCCTCACAACGGATAGGTTCCAGGTTCGATTCCTGGCCGGGTAGAATGGTGAGATCTAACCATTTTTAAAGTCTTGATCAATCGCCATATAGTCTCATCAGACTCGAAGCGATATAAAATAAGCATAAAAAAAAAAAAAGATATCACAATTTCCTGACGAGATATGCAATGTTCAAAATTTTCTTTGATTGAAATCTGCCAACTTCAATGTCATATCTCTTCGCCCATATAACCTCACCCACTTGTCACTTTTTGCGCATTTTTTGCATTCAGTTGAATGTCTGTTTATTGATTCTTTCACATTACCCTTACGGAATTCTAGGCACGGCTTCGTGAAACGAATAAAATAATAATTCCATGACTGAAGTTTTTTGGAGCGAGAGTGACTTTTGCATAGACCATAACAACATCTTTTCGTAGCACCTTTTTTACGTTTTTCCATGTTGAAAAACTCATGTAAATTTTTAGAAATCGCAATGGAAGGTCTGCTTTTTTTTAAAATGCGTGCCTTGGTTGTTCCTGGCGTTTCAATTATTTATCCCTCCAACTATTATTTTTTTTACGTATATCATGAGTAAAACTGTCCACAACTCGACCGGAAGTTACCATTTTTGTTTACACATGCGCACTTTTTATTCGTCAGAATGAAAAGGTCTATTGAATCAGCTGATCGTTTTACGAGATGTCACTTAAAAAATACTAAATAATTTATTACGGGAGAACAAGTGCACTTGCCATATTGGTTCCTAACTCATTTTCGTAGAGAATTTTCGGCCTTACACACTGGTATTTTTTTCTCAATGATTGGTTCAATTTAATTGAATCTACACGGATTTTTGGCGTTCGCCTGAAAATTCGAATTGTTTTTAATTATTTCTAATATGTAGTACATCAATCTGTCATTGAACAATTTGATATGTTGTTCAGGGAATTTTTATCTGTCTAATGGTTATATTTTCATGGACGAGGATTAAAAGTGTCACCTAAATGCTAGATTGCCTACACTATTATATTGTTTCCAAACCCTGGCGATCCAGGAGCCACGGTATTTGCGTGGGTGTTGCGTGGATATTAGGATTTTCATTTTTTGAGCTAAAAAGGGGGAAATGATATCTGAAAACACAATAAAAGTGGATAGACGAATTATTAGTTTATATTTGCACTGTTTATAACATTGTTTTCTATCAATTGATTAAAATTAATGTGAGTGTATATAACGATAATACAAGTCCCGTAGGGGGAATGCCGGGAGATGGCGGCAGTATCGACATCCCAACGGGGTCGGTTAAGTCGACAGCAGTCGCAGCCAGAATAAGTGAGACCCCAACAGAGGTGGGGCGCCACGGTCGATACTGACGGCTGGGCGAGCTGCCTGTGCCGGTAACTCGGCAGTAGGGCCAGAAGAAGAATATCCATGGATTTTTGGAGTGGGGGACAAGCATATGAGTGGGAATTACGTAGAGTGGGGGTACCCTGGGTAGGGAAAACTTCTGCTAGAAGCCCTATAGCAGTCCCGCTGTCACAGGGGTAGGTTCGAAGGAGAGTTTATGTCCTCTTTGTCCTCAATGTTTACTTTATATTTTTCCGTTGATTCATTCGCCCGCTAATTAATATTAAGGGATGAGACAAGGACTTTTCGATGGAGAATTAGATTCCCCATCTATCAACCCTCGTTTCATCCCTTAATCTGTTGTAATAAAAAAATAAAACTGCGACGAAAGTTACGTCGCTATAGAAAAATCGTCTGAGAGGCCCATAATCGCCCGCAATTAAAAAATCGTCTCTCCCCTCCTAATTAATATTAAAGAATGAAACCATGCTGTTCGATGGAGAATTAAATTCCCCATCAGCAACCCCCGTTTCATCCCTTAATCTCTGTAATCAAAAAATAAAAACTGCGACGCAATAACGGCGCTATGAGAAACCAACTTAGATGGATAATCGCCCGCCAATTAAAAAATCGTCTCTCCCTCCTAATTAAATTAAGGAATGAAACCAATGCTGTTCGATGGAGAATTAAATTCCCCATCCAGCAACCCCCGTTTCATCCCTTAATCTCTGTAATCAAAAAATAAAAACTGCGACGAAAGTTGCGGCGCTGTGAAAAACTTGATGGATAACTCGCCCGCTAATCAAAAAATTGTCTCTCCCCTCCTAATTAATATTAAGGAATGAAACCAATGCAAACTAATAACTGCGACGAAAGTCGCGGCGCAATGAAAAAACCTAATGGTCTTTCGGCGCATGTCGTAACCCTTCATGTACGGAGTCGTCACATAATCATTATTATTGTTATTATTGATTACAATTTTTTTTTCACACGACATACTCTTTTCGTATGCCGGGTAAGTGATTTATGCGAAAAAAATTACATCTTTTATATTGAAGGTATCATCTTTCAGAATAATTTATTTAAAACCTAAATTAAAAAAAAAATTTTCAAACAATTCCCTTTTTTCATGTTAAAGACATTCCAAACAATAGCAATCGTTTCAATTTTGAAATGCGCCCGGAAGATACAGAAGCACCCGCCACCAAAATTGTAGTAATAAGAACTTCCAGGTGGCCGAGTGGACAGCGCGCTGGTCTAAGGATCCTAAGGACCCCGGATCGAATCCCCGAACATGCAGAATTTTTAAAAGTATAATTTCATTGAATTTCGATTACAGATATATGATAACAGTTCAGGTTCCATAACTAGCAAAAAACAATAATGATCACGTTATTTTTTTTATTCCTTATTAATTAATCAACAATTAAACTTGACTAAATACTAAATACTACTCATCAACAACGTCCAACAACTGCCTTGGGGACTTATTTGTGGGGAATTGAAAAT